AGAGAGATCGTGTGGTAATAAATGTGCAGAAACCATGGGATCTGATGGGTATAAATGGCACGCTGTGTCTTGCCTTTGTTTCTGATGACCGATACAAGGACGCCAGACATCTGATCGGTGCCTCCCACTACCGAAGATATACTGGAAATTAGAGTCCATAGACAAGTTTGATCTTACAAATGCAATCAAAGCTACTATGCAACAGATCTTAAAAGAAATAAAAACACAGATTAACAATTTTACTGAGTAGACTATTTACTCTTTATAAACTACCACACTAATTCTCATTCTCTCACCTATACTAATCGGATTTTTGCTCTTTTTGAAGCAGACACGATGAAAAACGCAAGCGCAGCTCACCTTATTGGTGCCTCTTTATTTGTCCTAAGCTTCGAGTTATCGTAGGATGCAGACACAGTGAAGGAGCCTTCGGAGCGGTTATTTTGAAGATCGTACACAGCAAATGACATTTCTGCATTGGTAACAACTTCCGATGGTGCAGGTTCCAATCGCATATCCTTGAAATGTTATAAATGCAGAGCAATCTCTTTTCAAATTACTGCTTCCCTCTCCTTCGGAGTGGCTTGCACTGGCATGTGCCACAGAAAATCAAATGGAATCTTTCACTTGCAAAATAGTGCACGTATCGGCTCAAAAAGCCTTCATAAGTAATTCTTTGATGAAAGTGTTAAAAGCCTCATCCCCATAAACGCCATCTTAAATGAAAAAAACGCCGAGAACATTTGAACTGACAACACCCCGTAGCAACACAAAATAAAAGCCTTATCACGCGCCCACAGCAAGAATTCTCATATTTATTGGATCCGTAGTTATTACGGTACCCTTAGACTTTCCTAAAACATATTTTAAAAATTTCGTGATAAATAGAGAAACCTTACACACGCATATACACACATACGCAGATTAAGCGCCTTATCATCAATCTTAAAGGCTTGTATTAAATAATAGAATTGCTAGCTGCCTTGTATCACAATCATTACTGAAAAAATCTGAGGTTGAAGAGGGAATGTAGCTGCGGGAGTTTTGATTTGTCTGATAAAAGTAGGGCATATTTGGTGCCTCAAACCCACCCAAGGCAGCACCTGGGCAAAGGTCCGTTCAAGTTTTCTATGCACCCAATGTGTGCGCAGAACATGATTATGAAATCTTGATTGCAATGATCAAGCAAAACAACAATGCATCTAGTTCGTTCACCGGTTTACTTCAGACATAGATTACGCAACAAATGACATGCTAATTACAAACTTTTTCAGTCCTGCGAATTATGACGTAACCTTGCAATTAAACGCTTGCTTATCTGGTATGTATTGTGTCCGTTTGTCTATCCGTCTCTCTGTCTATCAAAAAATTGTTCATTTGTTCTAAGAGAGGCAAACAACTCTTATCTTATTGGCTGCGTAGAATAATTTGGCTCTTCTTCCTTGACAAGAAGTTGGAGAATTAGATTAAAATTCTAGTGTTTCGAGGTCAGATTCTAAAGAGGCTTTAGCAAGTAACGGATACTTTTTTGATCAAAATTATCTCCATAAGCAACATGCCAGGGCAAACTTCTCCGAAAGAGAAGCGAAGAATTGGTGTGATAAAAGAAAAGGTTAACATAGCTGAACAGCCATAATTCGTCGTTTCAGTGTACGGCGACAAACCTGGTCGTCCCTTTGAACCAAAATTTTACTGCTCGAGGCTGCGTTGCACACACCAACGACCTTTCTGCCAAACAATTCGAAGATGCTCCAATCTGAGACATCATAGCTTAAGATATGGTAAGCAAACCTTTCAAAGGACCTCTATGCGTAAGAACATAACTCCCTTTGAATTCGAAAGTTCCGCGTTCACTCGCCATATGAACAAGTCTCAAGATAAATATGAGGCCTAAATTTTGGGGAATGTTTTAAAGAAAAGGTTTTTGGGGAACTTTTTTGTGTAAAGATTCATCGAGCGAAGAGGT